GACTAAAGTCGATTAGAACCCCCAATTTTTCCTCGGACTGCCTCTAGGTTTGGTGTTAGGGTTTGTTTGTTCGATTTGGGATTTGAATAGTTACAATGAGATTCGAACGAAACTGGGGTGTGATTTGGGACTAGGGAGGTCTAGTGGTCAACGGGTGTAAGTTTGGGGGCGATTGGGTAAACTAGATTTTTTGGTCGGATTTTTCGATCTAAGATTCGAAGAGCTCTGTCATGATTCAAGGTTAAAGGGGTATGGATTCGGAAAGAGGAAGGCATAGAGGTTCAGCGGTGTTATTTGGGTGGCCGGCGGCGTCGTTGCCGCCGGGTTTCAGGTGAAGGTGTGGGGTGGCGGCTCTAGGGTTTCGAGGGGTCGTTTGGTCTGTGGTTTGGGAGACAAAGAAGAGGGGTCGGGAAATGAGGGAGGGTAAGGGGTTTAGGAGTTTGGTATATTGAGATGATGAGATTAATATGGTCCATTGGATCAATGAAGATTGACGGTTAGGATCAAGGAGATTAACCAATATGGCATCGTTTGGTTTAAGTAGGGGGTCGGTTTGAACCGGGTAACGGGTCGGGCTAGGGAATGGGTAAGGGAGACGACTTTTGAGCCGTTGGATCATGCAGGATCAACGGCTGTGATTGATTGCCGTTGAAACGACATCGTTTGAACGTCTGTGAGATTTGGACCGGTCTGGGCATCTATTTGGGCCTGATTTTGATTTTAAAAAGTCGACCCAGTTCCAAATTTATTCTTTATTCTTTATTTCTTCCTTTTCTTTTATTTTCCTTTTTAATTCCTATTTTACAAACAAAATCCTAGTTTAAATCAAAAACCAAAATTAGCTAAAAAAATATACTAATTGACTCTTAATAATAAGTAAAATCTAAAATCAAACACTAATTAAAACACGATCACATAATCGGACATTAAATGCTAAAAATGCAAAAAATACACATTTTTGTGATTTTCATTAATTCCTGATTGTAAAATTAAATCCTAAATGCACATGCAACACCTATTTTTGTATCTTTCTTAATTAAAGTAGAAATAAACATGCACAGACAAAAATACAAATAAATCACAAACAACACAAAACTATTTTATTTTGAATTTTTGGGAGTAGTTCTCGTAGGGCAAAAATTACGTGCTCACAGTCGCTATTCGATCTAGGTCGAACTCTTTTCTTTTTGGTGAAAGCCCTTAGCCTTAAGGGTGTTATTTCGAACTTTCGTCGAAATATCAACCGGTCATCGTTCGATCGAGGTCGAACTCTTTTCTTTGGCGAAGGCCCTTGGCCTTGAGGGTGTTATTTCAAGCTTTTGTCGAAATACTAACCTGTCATCGTTCGATCGAGGTCGAACTCTTTTCTTTTTTGGCGAAGGCCCTTACCCTTAAGGGTGCTATGTTGAACTTTCGTCGAAATATTAACTCGTCGTTGTTCGATCGAGGTCGAACTCTTCTTTTTGGCGAAGGCCTTTAGCCTTAAGGGAGTTATTTCGAACTTTCGTCGAAATATTAATCCATCGTCGTTCGATCGAGGTCGAACACTTTTCTTTTTGGCGAAGGCCCTTAGCCTTAAGGGTGTTATTTCGAACTTTCGTCGAAATATTAATCCTTCGTCGTTCGATCGAGGTCGAACTCTTTTCTTTTTGGCGAAAGCCCTAAGCCTTAAGGGTGTTATTTCGAACTTTCGTCGAAATATTAATCCTTCGTCGTTCGATCGAGGTCGAACTCTTTTCTTTTTGGCGAAAGCCCTAAGCCTTAAGGGTGTTATTTCGAACTTTCGTCTGGTGAGTCCCGTTTTTTTTAGAGAGTTAGATCGTCAAGTGGACGATATTTCGGTTGTTTTACAGTAATTTCTCAATTTTTAGTTGAGATGTTTCTTCGCTCGCTTGCCCGCGCGGCGCTCGCGTTCTTGTTTGAGTGAACATCAGAAGGTGGGCCAACATGATATTCCCCTTCCCCCGATTCGAGGAGTTGATGGATGAAGGTGAAACCGTAGCGTTGCTCGTTTGGTATTTCGATGGCTGATGGGGCGGTGGCTTCTGAATTCGGCAACTGTATTCAGCTCTCTTTCCCCTCCTTTTTCGTGCCTTGGTCCTGCGCGGTTTTGGGCTTGCTTTGGCTGGTTCCTGGGCTGCCCGGGGTGCGGGGGATGATGTTGGTTGTAGCTTCCGTTTGCATGTAGCATCATGATCTAGGTTGACATATGAGGTTTACTTACCGCTCTTTTGGTGGGTGATCATGTTTACGATTTTTTATCTGGAAGAGACTAGGAAATTTCACTAAGAAATCTCCACAGACGGCGCCAAATTGTTTGACCAAAAGATATCAAAACCTTTTTGATTAAATCAATTAATGAAGATAAAGAACTAAATCTTAGTCACACATAATTCGAAGTAAAAAAGTTCCAAAATTCGTCCATTAGTGGAGGTGGCAGAAATCCGTTTTATTTTTTAAGAAATCCAGCTTGTCATATCTATGTTATTCATTTGGGCAAATAACACATAATTTGATGGCTTTAACGAGATAAAATGGTTGTGTGACTTTATTCAAACGAGACATGTAAAGTTTAATGATTTTGGTGAGACATAAAATAATTCTATGACTTTGTTGATATACGCGTAAAGTTTAGCGACCATTCATGAAACTAATTAAAAAAGCAATGACTATCTAAAAACTTATATTTTTCTAATCCACTAGGCTTTTAGGAGGTTAATTTTTCTACATGGAGTTATCCGAAGATTGTCTCTTAAAATATAATGTTGTATGTTAAGTTATATTTATCTAATTCGCTAGGCTTTTAGGATGTCAATTTTTCTACATGGAGTTATTCGATGATTGTAATTATTATGGTAAGTTAACATGTGTATTAGTTAATAATTTGTAGATTTTTATATGATGTGAATTTTTTAATTAAACAAGTCAAAATATTTTTTTTGTGCTTATAAAATTACAATATGAAATATTAAAATAAAAATGTAAAATCATACTATAAATTTTAAACATATAAATTTGTCATTCTTTCTAAACTGATTAAAAAGGGAAAAAAAATGGTCACTTTAAATTAAAAAGATGAAGTGTTGTATTTATTAGTATTAAATAAAAAAGAAACTTTTAATAAAACTTGAACAATAATCAACGACGTCACAATCACTTACCCACCATTCACCAACTCCGACGCTATTAATATATAAAGAGTTTGATGCCTAAAGCCGAAATTGCACCTACCTTAAGATCTGAACCTCCATTTTCAACAACAAAACAAATTCACAGAAATATCAAAAAATGGATTTTGAGGGTATTCTTTTGGGTATGGGCAATCCATTGCTCGATATCTCTGCTGTTATCGATCAAGATTTCCTCAACAAGTAATGTTTTCACATCCTTCTTTCCCATTTTCAGCTAATTTCCTATACAAAAATCGTTCAGTTTCCTAATTGTTAGTTGATTTAATTTCATAGATCTGGTAAATGCTAGTAGATGTTTATTACATATTTGCTACTTATTGCTTAAATTTTTGGATCTTGGATTGGGTTAATGCATTTGCTTTATATGGAGCTTTGGATTATTTTTTTTGTATGAGATTTAGAAGTTAAATTCTTATTTGAATGATATGGTTTTTAACTCAGGTACGACATTAAGCCGAACAATGCAATTCTTGCTGAGGAAAAGCACTTGTCTATGTAAGTTATTTCCTTTCATCTTAGTTCTACGTGTGTATCCACATTCCCTAGCTTAGCAGATTGCATTTGCAGTTTGCACTAGTTAGTTTCTTTTTTGTTCCTTTTTCTAAGTTTGCGCCTCTAATTAGGTTATTCGTCATTGAATTGATATATAAATATCTGGCCGGTTAGCTTAGCTCAGCTGACTGGATTAGGTGGCAGCTAGCTTCAGTGTCATTTGGGTACCATTATCGGGTTATCAGGGTCATTATTAATTTATTTAAGATTGAAAAGTATTTGCAATTTGATTCAGGCAATGAGGAGGTTATTCGTAATTATTCTTTGAATAGATTGATTATAATATTTCTTGCAGTTATTCCTGATTTCATTTGTTAAATGGTAAATGAAGTGCCTCGTTGCTTATCCGTGCTGAATGATTCTTAAACAAGTAGTTTTCTATGAGCTAAAAATATTTCACTGCCACTTGAAAAGCCTATTTTGGGTGGATCTTTGTTCAATTTATTTCCTACTGAAATATGAAGTCAATTTGGAAGTCATAATTTGTATTTCCTAGTATTGTTATGGAATATGCAATACAAATGGTTTAAGCCATATTATCCTGGGAAACTGAGAAATGGTGCCATGATTTCCTGAGGATTCACTATAAATTGGAAATGTTAGCATTTCTTTGTTTCATTTCTAGATAGGCTTATTGCTTTCTTAAGTGCATGGCTTGTTGCGATAAACTCTCATTCAAAAGAGTCTTGTATAGATACTTTTCTGGTTATAGTTAATTAAATAATGAGCCTATTATTTTTCTGATATTAAAGGTGAAATGTTTGCCTTGTTGTATAGTTTTATGTTTGGAATACAAATACAAAGAGAGAGTAGTCACTAGAACTTATTATGCTGAAGAAAATAGTTGCATCTTTTGTCTTGACGAAGCTTGTTCATGCAAAATGCTGATAAGGAATTTTATGATGTAGGTATGACGAAATGACATCCAAATTTAATGTCGAATACATTGCTGGAGGTAAATTGCCATCACTTGATACCTTATTTAACAACATCTTTGTTGAATGATATTTGCATTGAAGATACCACGGCAACCTGAACACATTTGTCTTTTCATTCTGAATTGCAGGTGCAACTCAAAATTCAATCAGAGTAGCTCAGGTGTGTTATCACTTTTGTTTTTCCTTGGTTCTTGCAATCTTACATGACCTATTTAGTCCAGTATAATAACTTTCCATTTTCACTTGCAGTGGATGCTTCAAATTCCAGGTGCAACAAGTTACATGGGCTCTATTGGGAAGGACAAGTATGGGGAGGAAATGAAGAAAAATGCGAAAGATGCTGGTATCAATGTAGATTCTTTGTCTCTAATCTTCTCCTTGTTTGGCCTTTTTTTTTGTAGGGGGGGGG